TACCAGGCACGGTGGGCATCTCTAACAGCGGTACTCGGCCATGTGAGTTCATTCGGCATGTGCCCCAATCTTCATACAACGATGACAATACAATCTGCAACCAGGTCGTACCAGATTTCGGAAAACCCACGATGAATACGTCATCCATTTCAACGGGGAAATTTCTGATTCTTTCTAGAGCGGTCTCAGTCAAAACACTTGGAAGCGGGAATCCATTGAGACGAGTCATAGTGGCCGAGTATGCGCCATGGTCATTACCAGTTAAGTAGTTTAGGGGTACGGAGAATGCTCCGAATGAGAACATAAAGAACCAGTCCATGATTATTCGATACCATACGTAGACGGGACGCGTCAACTGACGCAGGTACTTGCCGGCTGATAGTAATAGCTCCATGGAGAATGCAGTCGAAACGTAAACATTCAAGTGAAGACAGACAGTCTTTTACAGTTCGAAGAGTTTACGAACAACGCATATGCAGCTGAAGTTAAATATCTACTGGATGTATCCTCTGACGTCAATAAAAATTAATACATAACTGCAGTTATCGTAGCGAGGATTACTCGTGTCGAGGTCAGGAGACAGCATGTATTGCCGTACAACGAGCGCAGTTAGGAGTAATTTTAAAAAGAATCTTTAACTATGTTGGCTAGGGGTCGACCATTTAAAATCATGGGGGTGACTGGAAGTTTTGTTGAACAAATGCAATGGTGATATTTGAAAAGTTGTCCAAGCTGTGTACTGAGTGGTTCCAGTGTGTAAAATCACACAAATGATTGGTTATTCAGATATCATCTGAAATAAAAGCATGGCGTTCGTTGTAAAAGGTTACATTTGGGATGGGGGTTATAATTGTCGTGTCAAACCAAACGTCGTGACTCAACATGTTTATCGAGTACAATAAGTCATTATCTGGGTCAACCTTTGAATAAACTTTGAAAAGGTCAACATTTGACTGGGCGTCCGCAATAAGACTAAAGCAAAACAAATTGACTGTATATAACATTTGAGCAAAAAGATCAAAAATAATAGGTCGAAAGTCAGAAAAGAGATGAATAAATCTGGTATAGGACTGCCTGAATAATACCTAAACGCACTTCAAGTAAAAGAAAAAGACAACGGACAACGGAAATGGGCAGGCCATCGTCGACAACGATGTTAGCAGAAACCTGAAGATTTGAATCTGTGCGGCACGTAGACTCGTCGCCGTACGTAGACAGTTTCATCGGCATACGTAGATGTGTAGATTTCGCGTCCACACATTCAGAAGACGAGGATGAGAGGATGTAGCTGGTACATGTTATAATTTTTTACAGGACAGTTTCATTTTACAATAAAATACATGTTTTTAACAGTTTACAATAATAACAATTGCCGAATTACATTTTACGCATTTATGATTTATCCAGACGAACATCATTAAAATGACACGACCACAAAGTACGCAAAACAACGTAAAAATATAAATACTATTAAATCAAATATTACGGTCTCCTTCTGAGTGTCACGGTCGGGTTCGTTTACATGAGCAAGCGCGAATTAGAAATTTCGCTGTTTAACCGTGACGTGAACTAGAATGTACAATGATTGCTAACCACTCACCCAATCAGATTTCGCAAACTTAGCTACTGTAAAACCATTTATTTTCACTGACATCTAATTTCACTAATTTGATGTTTTGAGCATATTTATTGTGTTTTTAATTTCATGAATTTGTCAAAGTGGGAATGCAGTCAAAACTATGCAAGAAACTGTTGTCCCCAATATATACTAATATTAATTTAGTGAAATTGGGGACAAAATTATATAAAATAATACAATGTGATGTTGGCTGGTTCATAACTGAATAAAATAAATCAATGCTATCATAATTAGTCAAAAAATAATCTAAATCATATTTTTGCTTAGTCCCGGCTATGTATAAGCCATGTAGCTTCTATTACGACCTTGTCATTATAAACATTCGTTTGACTCACGGACTAAGTGTTCAAAGGTTGGCATAAGCCACTACATTGACTCATTTCTTATCAGCATTACAAATTACACCGATAAAATATAAGGTTCACCGTCCACTATCCTGAATTATTCACGTACGTTGCAGTACAACTGCCATCGTTTGTATCTCTCAACAAATGTTTGGGGTCGGCTGCTTAAATCTCAGGAAACACAGTCACTCGTTGGCCTAACATACGCCTCGATGACAATCAGTGTATTTTGACATCGAATATAAATTTTATATTGTATAATCTTTATCGATTCACGACTTTTATTGATGAAATTCACGTATAAGTGCGCAAAAAAGCTATCTTTATACCACAGTCAGCTGGCGCACACGTG